ATTTATTCTGTCAGGCCATTAGGCTTGATCACTACAAACACATAACACGACACGGGTCAGGTGATGGGGCACATGACCCTCTATGAACAATGGAGCTAACCAAGCCTATCGTTAGGCGATTGCCCTCTCTTGCATGTGACTAACCTGTTTGTCCAGGTGGAGGAAGTGCTTATAAGGCTGAGTTCACCTGAAACTCATCAGACTGAAGAAGTCTCTTGGAGGAGAGACGAAACTTTTCACTAAAGAAGAACCCATCCAGAGGACCTACTTATTTTTCTTTTTGATTTTTTTCTACCTGGATTACTGAGATGCATCAGGACATTGCCACGAAGCATTACCAAACACCAATTTCCTAAGTTTTTGTGCCAAGTATATTTCCATTTCCATCCATAGAGGCGCGTCACTTTACTTTTACAGCGTTGCACATATCGCCGCAGTTTGGGGAGGTGATTTGTTGAAACAGACTTTTGACTCATGATCAATAGTTTTCGAGGATTGCTATTTCTGCTGCTTCTTGGTCATCTTGGTAAGAAAGCATGCAGAATTTGTCATTTTAAACTGTTTATTGGAGAACTGAAGCAATGCATTCTGGGTTCAGGATGGATTGGTGACAGAAAGCGAAACATGGAAGACAGGAAACCGTCTACACATCAAAATAAAAAATAATTAAAACTTTTACCTGCTTAAGTTATGGCTCCAGTTACCACCCCTTCAGGTTAGTCACATGCAAAAGACTAACCTAACTAACCTTTTGCATGTGACCAACCTGTTTGTCCACAATGTGGAGGCAGAGCTTGTAAGGCTGAGTTCACATGAAACTCATCAGACTGAAGAAGTCTCTTGGAGGAGAGACGAAACATTTCACTAAAGAAGAACCCATCCAGAGGACCTACTTATTTTTGGATTTTTTTCTACATGAATTACTGAGATGCATCAGGATATTTTAGCTTTTGTTTTGGCTAAATTTGCATCCAAATACAAAAGTGTGTGTGTGTGTGTGTGTGTGTGTGTGTGTGTGTGTGTGTGTGTGTGTGTGTGTGNGTGTGTGTGTGTGTGTGTGTGTGTGTGTGTGTGTGTGTGTGTGTGTGTGTGTGTGTTTTCTGCAAAAATTAAGCATTCAGAAGTTCGTACAAGCTTCTCATAAAGGATCCACAGCTTTTTCATGGACCTTTTTATGTGCATGTCCTGATGAATCTCCGTAATCCAGGTAGAAAAATCAAAAAAATCCACTGTTCAAAAGAATGAGCCAGCACAGACGAGCTACATCGTCAGGTCAGGACTCTGCAGTTTACATTCATCTACAGGCCAGCGGTCACTCTTTCAGGGTTGAAGACGTTCTCATCCTTGTAGAGAGGAATGTTGGTTTGAGAGATGATTAAAGGAAGCCATCTTTGTGAAGAAAAACCGTCCACCATTAAACAGAGGTGGAGGCCTTAGTTTTCAGTTGTCCTCCTCCTACAATGCTGTTATTGCAAGTATGACTCAGCCCCCTGTGAGCAAAAGGTGTGAATCAGGGTCCCAACCATAATCAGGGGATGGGGCATATGACCCTCTATGAACAATAAAGTTAATCAAGGCACTAACAACCTATTGCTTGGCTGATGGTCCTCTTCTGCATGTGACCAACCTGTTTGTCCACCATGTGGAGGCAGTGCTTATAAGTTCACCTGAAACTCCTCAGACTGAAGAAGTCTCCTCAGAGAGACGAAACATTTATTTAAAGAAGAACCCATCCAGAGGACCTACTTATTTTTTTCTTTTTGCTTTTTTAAGTATTTTTGCAGAAAATGCAAATTCTCTATAATACAAATTTATTTTAAACTAAATGCTTTTTGAGTCAAACAACAAAACACAAGTTTTATTTCGGTTCAGTTCTTTGTGTTGAGTAAAACTGAAATGACCACACGTCATTCATCTGTAAATATTTATCAGTTTATTACAGTTAAAAAGATGTATGTACATATAGAACATTACAGAACATTGTCATCTTCATTCATTTGCAGAGCAGCACTCTGCTAGTTGTTGGTTTCATGATAACGGGCTTACAATAGGGCGGCATTGATTAAGGTTCGTCATTTACAGCCAAGTCAATAAATCTGTTTTTCCTGCTTCTCACTTGCCATTTATTTTCTTAGAGGCATATATCAAAGAAATAAAGAGGACAGAGCTTAGAAAGGGATAAAACATGGTCATCTGCTGTTCATTGGAACACCTCAGACTGAATCTGGTGGAGGTAGTAAATGTGCATCTGCTCATGCAGCTGAGAACTAAAAAAATGTTCCTTTTGTCATGTTTAATCTGAAGGAAACACAAATGAAAGGAAAACCAAAGAAATGATCTTTCTCTGTGAAATCAAACCGCCGTAAAGGTTCTGCTTGTGCTCCTGTCGATGTGCACAGATGCAATAAAGTGTGTGAGAGTGATGCATGTGAATATGAAGTGTGTGTGTGTGTGTGTGTGTGTGGGGGGGCAGCTTCACATTAAAGGGCTATTCCACAAAGAAATAAGGTTTAACCCCAACAGAGATGATGTATTAAGAAGCTGTGTGATTTAATGTTCAAGATTATAAACGTGTTGAAAAACTGCCTTTCTCATCCTGATGTAGGCTCGACACAAAAGTTTACTACATTTCATAAGAATAAAACTGTCAACAAAGACTCGGTCTTAAAGGGATCCATGATTAGTTGTAACATTAGACTTTATTTAATAAACATATATTTTAACTGTAAAATAAAAAACTGCAAAAATACTGTAGGATGTTTAGTTTTTATCATTTTTAAACTAAAAGTTTAAAAATATATTACACGGACGGGGCCATTTTGTTTACACGCAAAGCATTCTGGGTAAATGATGACGTGGATAGGTCATCTGTGTGACGCTAAAGCTAACAGGCTAAGCTGAGGTTCTTCTTCCATGAAGCAGCTCTGTTGTCCTCCATCTATATTTTCAGTTCCAGGCTGAGTCATTTCTACCTTCTCCTCTCTGTCAACTCTCTCTGGTTTCATTTAAAAGAGTCGATCATCAGATATTGTCCAAGATTAACCTTCAGGGTGGACATAGCTCACTCACACCGAGGTCCTATCCATGTCATCATTCACCCAGAATGCTTTGCATGTAAATAAAATGGCTCCGTCCGTGTTAAAATATATATTTTAAAATTTTACAAAACTAAACATCCTACAGTATTTTTGTCTTTATTTTACAGTTAAAATAAATGTTTATCAAATCAAGTCTAATGTTACAACTAATCAGGGATCCCTTTAAACTGTGATTACGACTTATGAGCAAAACTTCAAAAGAAAAAATCAGCCTTTTCCTTTCCGCACAAAAGCTCTGCCCTCATGAAACAATAATGCAAGTCAGTTTTTGGTGGAATTCCCCTTTAATGCCACAGACGAGTGAAACATAAGCACATCCACTATGTAGCATCTTCCAATGCACTCTGTCTTTTGTTTAGAAAACTCTTCACATGAACAGATTTTTGTAATACTGAGTCTACCATCACATCTGATTACTGTACAGAGTAAAAGAAAGAAAAGACAGAGGAAACTAGATTCAAATTTACATTGTAACGACCAGTTGCTTGTCATCAAGTACAGTCAGTGGCCATAGACAGGAGGGAAAGCCAAACAAACACAGAAAAAAAACGACCATTAAGGCTGCTCGTCAATGTAGATTAAGTAGGAGAAGCATTGGCACACAATGCTTTGACACCCTTTGCAATATAGAAAATAAAAATAAAAATAAAAATGGGAGCATTTGCAGTTACACCACGTAGCCACTAAGAGTTCTACGCAAGAACGACCAATTCTGACCCCGACAAACTGTCAGATGTGTCCGAACATGCTTTGTTGTTGCCTGTTCAAAAATAACCAGGCGAGAAAATGTCAAAACGCATGACGCCAAAAAAATAAAAATAAAAACAGAGGCGCAAAATAACCGATTCTGTTCCACTGGTCCATGGTCCAAAACCACAATTATTGAAAATAAAATAAATTAATAATAATAAATGAATGACTGAGTGCATCATCTTTGATCCAGCAACACCTAGAGTTGAATGAACGAGCAGGATCACATCAAAAACCACTCCGGTGACTGAGGGGTGTTCTCCGAGTGGATCAGCCTGAGCTCCACACACCGGCGTTCAACATGTTGCAACATGGCAGAGGGGAAAAAAAAACTAACAAAGTAGGAGTCAATGTAAAAACGGGTCACAGCGCTCATGCTGTATACCTAATGCACATCTCACTTTTGAGTACTCCAAGGCATTTTTCAGACAATTGCTTACAGTTTAAAGTAAATACACACACAAAGAAACTGTCAAAGCTTTCATATAAAACCCAGGAATGCAATGCCTCTGGTGTGTTGTTGAGCATGAACACAGAAAGCCCTTTTTACAATGGTTATGTCTTTGACAGTTTTGTACTAGAAACTGCATTAAGCTCAAATGTGCACCCTGTTGTGTCGTTTCGCCGTCGAGTCCAAACGATTTGATCTACATTTAAACCACCAGGGCCCGATGTAAAAAAAAAAAAAATTTCAAAGAGCATAAAATAAATCAGTGGGTTTGTCCTTCGTTTTCAGAGTGAAGTTTGTCTCAGTGTTTGGAGCAGATTGTTGTCCCTCCTCCTCCCTGGTCTGCAAAAAGCAGCAGCAGGTTCTGCTGGTAAATCAGAAGCAGCATTTCATTGTTTTTTCCCCACGAAAAAAAAAAAAAAAGCTGTGGCAATCTCATTGCTCTGAACAAGTCTGGATCACAGCTCAGTAAAACGTCAAGCTGCTGCAAAGTAAGGGGAGCCTCAATAAATTCAACACAAACCTGACTGAAATATAAAAATAATTTGGAATAAAAACATATTCAAATAAGAAAAAAAAGTGCTGCTTTTTTAATGTAGTCACTTAAAAAAACTAAATGAATACAGGTTTAAGCATAAAGGAAAAAAACAAACAAGCAATTTAACTGCAATAAACCATTTTCTCAAAATAAAGAAAGCAGGATATGGAAAATTTCAAACGTTTTATAGCCACTTTTACAGTTCAAGACAGTGATCTCTTTTAATATTGTCACCAAAATTACTAGAGACTTCCAAAATCAATATTTATATTTAATTGATACAAATTTACATGATAAAACGTTTAACAAAACTTGTGAAACAAAATGCCCCCCAATAAAAATTATAGAGACTTTATGGGTCTGCCTCGATAAAAAAAGGATGCCAATAGGAAAAAAAAAAGTGCATAAAAGCAGCAGCATTGTTGGGACAGTGTGGCACAAAAATATATTTAAATAAATCACAAATCCACAATAATCAAGGGAGTTTTGGAGACGCTCGAGAAATTAGAAGAATTTCAAAATAAAGTATCATGGAGGAGTTACCGGTCAATGTTTTATTTTCAAACCATTTGAAGCTTGAATACACTCCATTTGCTCCAGACTCATAAAATGTCTTTAAAAATGCTTGATATGTTGGTCAATGATCAACTACATGATGGCTGTGAAGTCCAACACTGGCGAGGACACCAAAAGAGTAAACAAAACTAAAAGAAATTGCACCGAAGGCAACAACCAGAAATTAGATACATGTTTAAAACAGCTATCGTTGGACATTCCCACAATCAATACCCAGAAGGAACCACATCATCACTCTTTCAGAAAAATAAAAATAAAAATCCTCCCAAGCATGTACGATTGGCATTTATCATATGTATACATGACTAGCTTAATGACAAACTACTGCTGCTAGTTGTTAAAAAGAATCTTCATATCTTACAACTGATATCACTTGCACAACAGATTAATGCAAAAGATACATTTAAAAAATTTATAACAGTAGCAATTAAAAAAACACTTGAAATAACTTATGTCTTTGTGTTTTTGTGGTGAAGTGTTTAGAAATGAACCATCGGGTCACTCTAAACATAGGCACAGTTAAAAAAAATTTAAAAAAACAGAAACAGACCTTTGTTCTCTATGACCAAGAAACGACATGAACAGGGAAGATTATGATAAAAAAAAAGAACCAGAGTATCAAAAGAAAACATAAGATGACAGAGTTTAAAATTACAGCAGCAGCAGTAAATATAAAGTCCCAAAAGACATTTTTTTGTTTGTTTTTGCATACAGTTGTATCCTTGCTCACATAATAGATGCTGTAATTACTGTATATACATTGGCAAATGAGCATGATTTCTAAAGTTGAAGGCCTTGCCTCGCAGCTCAGTTGCTCAGTATATATAACTTTACATATCCTCAGTTTTGGCAAACAGGTGGAAAGAGTTTCCTCATTTATGATTCGGAATGAAAGATGAGTGGGGCTTGGTGGCTGGGGTCAGACATGACCAGGATAAACTCTGGAGCAACACAGAAAATATCCAAAGATATGCCTCCTTTCTGCCCGAGGATAGAAAACAAAACTGTATTCTCGTCAACCTCCCCCTTTATGTTTTACCCACACTGACCGTAGTCTTTAGTGTACGATACACGTCCTGGGGCGGGCAGGCAGGCAGGCAGGCAGGCAGGCAAAAGGGCACAGAGTAAGCAGAGGGTTTGGAGATGGCACTGAGCTGATCTTGGCTCAGACCATGGCACGGTACGGTCCCTGCATCTTGAGGAACTGGATGATGAAAGAGGGGCCTCCAGCGACAATCTGGGGTGGCAGGTGGGTGAGGGGACAGTTCTCAATGCTCATGATGGACAGCTTGCTGCAGAGGGCCAGCTCAAACGGGAGGCTGTGCAGATTGGGGTTGTCGTTCAGGTACAGTTCCTCCAAGTTCTCCAGTGTGCCTACAGACAAAAAACAGTCAGCTACACCTTCTACAGGAACAAACACCAAAAACTCTATAAGGTAGGTGAATGCCAATATTTATTCTCCGAAAGGGTTTACAAACATATTTTATCAGAGTTGTAAAGTAACCAAGTACAAATACTGTGTTACTGTTCTTAAGTAGAATCTGTACTTTACTTGAGTAATTATTATTCAGCCTACCATACTTTTTACTTCTACTTTTTACATTTTCAGTTATCTGTACTTTCTACTTCATACATTTTTAAAAGAGGCAAGTAGTAGAAAGTTGTTACTTTTATTTCATTTTTGCTTGTTTTCATTCCAGCTTGTTATTGTAAAAAATAAATATTATCCATATAAACTGTGCCTCCTAGATAGAGTGAATTTAATTGTGGCTGAATGAGAAGTATACATTTATAAAATTCTGATACTGTATTAGTTTGTACACAAACAAATCATGTCACACTCCAGCAGGACATAATCATTAAAATAAAAGTACTGTACTTAAGAATGGTGCTGGGCGGTATACTGTTTTGTACCGAAAACCGGTTTTTATTTTTGTTATATGACTTTTCTGAATACCGGTGTAAATAGCCTGAACGTGCGGAACGTTTCGTCGCAGCCACCAGTGAACTGTTTCCCTGGGGACACGTTTCCTCGTAGTACCGCTAAGCGCATTAGCATGCTAACGTTATTGTTGGAACAACTGGCGGTGGGTGGTGTGTTTCAGCCACTTATATGGTCTGACGTAAAAAAAAAATCCCGTTTTCACCAATGCTGAATAGTAAACAACTCTTCAGTGTCGTGCACGGTTAGATTTAATGCGCTACGTTATAATGGAGACGTTAATGCATGGAGACTCTAGCGTGCTTCTATTGTGAAAAGCCCGGGGGAAGTAGATTTGTAGTGTAGCGAAGTTGACTGGTGTACAAGATGAGTCGTTCTTATTTTATTAACACGTAACGATGGACCAGACAATAATCTTTTCTCAACCCTTCATGATCGGACCTAAATGCATGATTACTGTCTACAACCAAAGAAGAAAAGACGAACAAGAGGAGGGAAACAGTGATACAGAGATACAGTAAAAGAAAAAAAGTCAATAAGCAAAGTTTGTACATTTTATTATCAGCTGAGCTGTGAGGGAAAAAATACCGTCAAATACCGTGAAACCGGTGTAATTGTTGAAAATACCGTGATACAAAATTTGGGTCATACCGCCCAGCTCTACTTAAGAAGTATTTGTATTTCATGAATTATATTATTGCATTTGGCTGCAGCCCTCAGATAGATTTTCATTTTGGGGAAAATGTTTGTGCAGCCTTGATTTATGTATATAAACTGAAACATCTAAACTAGTGCATCCTAAATTTAACATTAATTAATTATTTTAATACAATATAATCATTTCTGCATTTTCTGGGGAGGTCACCTCCTAATAAATGTCATTACAGAAAATCTAACTGCTCATTTTAAATCAATACTTTTACTTTTAATATGCAAGTACAAAAAATATCAGATACTTTAATACTTTTACTCAAGTAATATTCCTAAAGGAGACT